TGAGAAAAGTATAAAATAGATGAAAGATACAGAAAGATTTACATTTACAGATTAGAAGGAAGGAAGTATCTGAGGAATGTTAGAAATCTCTACCACTGGCCGGGCGCAGTGGCTCATGCCTGTAATCCCAGCACTTTGGGAGGCTGAGGTGGGTAGATCACCTGAGGTGAGGAGTTCGAGACCAGCCTGGCCAACAGGGTGAAATCCCATCTCTACTAATAACACAAAAATTAGTCAGGTGTGGTGGCATGCACCTGTAATCCCAGCTACTCGGGAGGCTGAGGCAGGAGAATCGCTTGAACCCAGGAGGCAGAGGTTACAGTGAGCCGAGATCGTGCCATTGCACTCCAGACTGGGCAACCAGAGTGAAACTCCATCTCAAAAAACAAACAAACAAAAAGGAAATCTCTACCACCAACTAATCACCAGATGTTAACCTTTTTGCCAAATTCATCTCTCTCTCTGTCTCTGTGTGTGTGTGTGTATGTGTGTGTGTATTATCTAGGTGAAGCGAACATAGATGTTCTTTGCATTTATTTTTTCAAATGTTTTCTAGGTGTGAAATTTTTCCAAATAAAAGTTGGGGAACTGCCGAGCGCAGTGGCTCATGCCTGTAATCCCAGCACTTTGGGAGGCTGAGGCAGGCGGATTATGAGGTCAGGAGTTCGAGACCAGCCTGACCAACATGGTGAAACCCCATCTCTACTAATAACACAAAAATTAGCCAGATGTGGTGGCATGCACCTGTAATACCAGCTACTTGGGAGGCTGAGGCAGGAGAATCACTTGAACCCAGGAGGCGGAGGTTGCAGTGAGCCGAGATCGTGCCATTGCGCTCCAGACTGGGCAACAAGAGTGAAACTCCATCTCAGAAAAACAAACGAACAAACAAAAAGGAAATCTCTAACACCAACTAATCACCAGATGTTAACCATTTCTCTCTCTCTCTGTCTCTCTCTCTCTGTGTGTGTGTGTGTGTATTATCTAGGTGAAGCAAACATAGATGTTCTTTGCATTTATTTTTTCGAACGTTTCTAGGTGTGGAATTTTTCCAAATAAAAGTTGGGGAAAGACTGAGCGCGGTGGCTCACGCCTGTAATCCCAGCACTTTGGGAGGCTGAGGCAGGCGGATCATGAGGTCAGGAGTTTGAGACCAGCCTGGCCAACATGGTGAAACCCCGTTTCTACTAAAAATACAAAAATTAAGTGAGCATGGTGGCGGGCGCCTGTAATACCAGCTACTTGGGAGGCTGAGGTGGGAGAATCCCTTGAACCTGGGAGGTGGAGGTTGCAGTGAGCTGAGATGTACCACCGCACTCCAGCCTGGGCAACAGAGCAAAACACCATCCCAAAAAAAAAAAAAAAAAAAAAAAAAAAAGATTAGGGAAAATGCCATACTTCCCCACACCCTGTCTCTACCCATTCCTGTACTCCAGTTCTATACTGGGTCCTATGGAACCACAGTTTCTTGGTAACATGTTTTCTCTCACCTCTGGATGTTTGCATATATTTCTCCCTCTGCAGGGGACATACTGTCTGGCCTCCCACTTTGTCCTTCACACACAGCCTTTGCCTAGATAACTCCCAAGGGTCTTTTAAAGTTTCACTTCCTCCAGGAAGCCTTTCATGATCACCTAACCCCACTAAAGTCTACACTAAGACTCTCATATATATTTCCTTTATTGTAATTGTTCTTATTATTGTCCTTGTCGTACAATATTATACATGTACATTAAACTTGTCTGTTTTCACTGCATTATGAGTTCCTTAAAAGCAAGGATTATGATTTATTTTATTCATTCTTTGTCCTCTGCAACTATGACAGGGCCTCTCACAATATTTATTAAAATAATAATTAATTTTTCAATAAAATGCATAGTTGCTTATATAATCCCATCCAAAAGGAAGAAAAAAAACAAGAAAAAGGGAGGGAAAAAGAAACTTTGATGTTTTATTTGGTTTGTAAAGCTTTACTGATGACAGCATAATTTCAGGTTAGACTTATATAAAATGTTGAAAATAGCTCCCAGATCCCCATTATTAGAAACTCTGGGTGAAATATCCCTGACAGTCCTAGAAGAAATTGGTTGGTTGTTTCTCTCAGCGACAACCGAGCTGTTTCTGCCTCTATCTTACTCTGCAGGAGCTGCGGTGGGAGGGCGGGAAGTCGGGGAGAGTGGGGAGGATACAAAGATGAAAAGTAAGGGAATTGTTTTTCAGGAATTTGGAGTTTAGTGAGAGATACAGATTCATGAGTAATACCAACAGTTCTACCTTACATTTGTATCTTTTTTTTTTTTTGCAGTTTACAGTGCAATTTCCCATCATTTATTCCTCAAAAAGTCCTTTAAAGTAGGCATTATTGGCACCATTTTAAGGGTGATTTTAACATAAACCAGAATGTGCTATGAAAGTAAGACGTTCTTTTTGTTTGGTGGTTTTCTAGAGTCCAGACATTTCCCCTGTATCTAGAATCCATCATTTAAAATCTACCACTCCTTACCATATTCTGCACCTTTCCTATTGTATAAAAGTGTGTCGGTATAACCCAGGCTGCAACTTCAGTCTTCAACAGCAGGGACTATTGTCTAATGAAAGTTGTACTCCAGATGGAAAATTTCTCAAGTGAAATGGATGGGATCGGTAAATCCATTGTTTTCTAAATTAGCAAATAGTTGGGTATGTAATAATATACATTTATTCAAGACAAAGGCTATGATCACAGCTTTTCAAAATACGTGTGCAAACGGATGAGGACTAAAGCATACACGTTCTGATCATTATTAAGGAGGTGGATTTAGGAGTAATTATTTTCTCTATAAATTAAAAATCATCAATAATTTTTAGCATATGTACATACCCAAGTTTTGCACATTAATTAAAGAAAGCTGAGAATCACCTATTTTCAGTCCTAAAGGATTCTTGGTTTATTTAACCCACTAGTTGAGTAGCCATTTTTCCTCTGTCTTCCTGGCTCCAATCAAGTCTTCCCACCTTCTCTCAAGAACATGCAGAGGACTTTGCCAGAATTATTGGATCAAACCACCGCACCATGACACATTGATCGACCTGGGAAAGAATTGTTTGTCTATTTCTCAACTTCATCACTCTTCTGTTTTGAACCTGCAGGCATGATGAATGCTTGCTCTCCCCTTCCTGATTACTTGTATTTGTATTAAAGGGGTGATTCTCGGGCCAGGGGTGGTGGCTTACGCCTGTAATCCCAGCACTTTGGGAGGCTGACGTGGGCAGATCACCTGAGGTTGGGAGTTTGAGACCAGCCTGGCCAACATGGTGAAACCCCCATCTCTACTAAAAATACAAAAAGTTAGCCAGGCGTGGCAGTGGATGCCTGTAATCCCAGCTACTCGGGAGACTGAGGCAGGAGAATCACTTGAACCCAGAAGGCGGAGGTTGCAGTGAGCTGAGATCACGCCATTACACTCCAGCCTAGGCAACGAGACCGAAACTCTGTCTCAAAGAAAAAAAAAGGGGTGGAGGTGGGGGTGGTTCTTGGATCACAAATTGAAAGTCTGAGGGCAGGAAGACGAGTCTTGAGCCTATGGCAATTGTTCACTTGAGCGCTAATGCAAATCTGGGCAGAGTCCTGCAGGCCTCTTCTTCCCATATGTGGCAGGGAGTTGGCACCCTGCACATGTGGCCACACCCAAGTGCTCACCCTTTGTGCTGCATTTTCAGTTGATCAATAGTTCAATGACATTTGTATGTAGGGAGGATTGCCTGACCGTCCTAATGGCTGTTAGGGAGGTCTGATTATTCCTTTTCTTTATCTGAGCAGATATACATCTGAAAGGCCCTGGAAGTCCTTGGAAGCACAAGCTAGTAACAGCTCCTGAGATTTGGGAGGTCCCATTTCCAACAGGGCTATTTCTTCAACTGGAGGCTTGCATAGCATCATGGTTGCCTACTTTTCCTTCAAATATAATATAGACCATTACTGTGGGGAAGGGTCACTCTCTACTGGAACATTTGAACCTGATGAGTCTAGTATAGCTATGCCCAGCCTAAGTGCTGTAAGGGCCCAGAGGATTACCCTGCTCCTTGAAATTTGATTGTGTTTCCCCAGAAAAGCCCTCTTTCATGTTTATACTACGTAGCTCTAGAAGTAAATGTGTCTGTATCCCTTTTGCCTGACTGGCCAGCACACAGGTGTTTTCAGTCTTCAAGGACTACAAAAAGTTAAGAGTGAAGGAAAGAACACACACACACACACACACACACACACACACACACACACCGGTTTCTATCCTGAGAGCCCCAGGAGAGAAAAGATTGTAATCTACCTCTGGCCTAAAAACATCCCTAGCACTCAGCAATTTAGTTTAGTTATATGGAGACAAACTGCCCCTTTATCATTCAATTCTCCTCCTTTGAAGATTGGACCCACACTGGTTTATTTTTTATCTTTTCATGATCTATGGTCTTTTGTAACATTTAAAATAGTAACCTGTGGTTTGGGGAGGCCATTAGCCAATTCTGTTCCCTTAACAGCATCTACCTGCTGAGCCATTGTGCTCTAGTTTTTAAGTGTCCTCTGACCTGGTTTGCTATCAGTAGCTATTTGCACAAGACTTTCTGTTGTGCCCCAGCTGTTCAAGCATGAAACCTCTATTCTTGGTTAAATGGAGGGAAAAAAGCAAAGTTCATATCTTTCCTTTTGTGGTTCCTTGATATTCATTTGCTCTGACCACCACATGTACTTAATAACAGCTAATTTTTATTAGTTCCTTCATATATGCCCATGTTATGGACAGCATTGTGCCCCCCCACCCCATATTTATATGTTAAATTCCTGACCTCCAGGATACCTCAGAACGTGACTCTATTTGAAGAATCAGCCTTTAAAAAGGCAATTAGGGTCAAATGAGGTCATTTGGGTAGGCCCAAATCCAGAATGATGGGTGTCCTCATAAGAAGAGGGAGAACTCCATGTGCCCTCCCCTCCCATCCTCCTTCCGCCATCTCTCCATGCTGCCATAATGGAATGCATGAATGCCCTGGCTGATGCTCTCAAGAACATAAACACTGGAAAAGGAGGCAGACACCAGATTCCTACTAGGCTATGCTCCAAAGTCATCATTGGGTTTCTAACTGTGATGATGAAGCATGGTTACATTGGCAAATTTGAAATCACTGATGATCACAGAGCTGGGAAAACTGTTGTGAATCTCACAGGCAAGTTAAACAAGTGTGGAGTGATAAGGCCCAGAGTTAATGTGCAACTCGAAGATCTAGAAAAATGGCAGACAAATCTGCTCCCATCCCTCCAGTTTGGTGTCCTTGTACTGACAATCTAAGCTGGCATCACGGACCACAAAGAAATAAGACAAAAACACACAGGAGGGAAAATCCTGGGATTCTTTTTCTAAGAATGTGATACATACTTACAAATAAAATGCCTTAGTGGAAAAAAATAAAAAGAAAAGGGAGCGACATCAGGAGTGCACACACAGAGAGAAAACGCTGTGAGTACACAGCAAAGAAGGCAGCTGTCTGCAAGACAAAGAGAGAGGCCTCAGCAGAAGCCAAATCTGCTGACACCTGATCCTAGACTTCCAGGCTCCAGAACTGTGAGAAATAAATGTCTACTGTTTAAGCCACACAATTTGTGGTATTTTGTTATGGTAGCCCTAGCAGACTAACACAGGCAGGCAATGTAATAACTGCTTTTTATGAATTATCTCATTTAATTGTAGGTACTATTTAGACAGGCACTCCCAGTATCAATTTCGCCCACAGCAGGAACTCTGTTGAGAGTATGCTCAGGCTTGACCCTGAAAGTAGGTAAGTAGAATGCTCCGGCTCGTAAATGGATGAGGTGGGGAGAGAAGTTTAATGGACACAGAATTCCCTGACACTTGTGTATCTTTATCGAGATTGTATCTACCTGTTTCCTCCTTGTTCATTAAAGGAGAATGGTAATACCCTAATTTACACCAGGAAGACTTCTTACAAGTGTTTGTTTATTTATTAAACTGATAAGCCCTTTCTGATTATTCACTAACAATTTCAAATTTTTTCCTCTATTTTGTTCTTTCTTACCCATCTCCATGGAATGGCTGGGTGAATGTATGTACACATAACATTTTCCTTTCTGTATATGCTGGCTAAAACTGTAGGTCTCAAAGGTTATCAAAAGTTCAGAAACAGATACAAGTATATGTAAGAAAAATATACATAATAAAATATTTTAAAAAGTCAGTGGGGGTAAGGATAAGTTAATTAACAAATAGTATTATAAAATCACTTGAAAAAATAATAGTTAATTCATCTCATCGAATATACAAAAAATTAATTTCAGATTGGATTACATATTTAAATGTTAATAAAACATGGAAGCATTAAAATGTAAAGATTAATTTTTTGTATAATCGAGGGCTGCAGAAGGCATAAGTACTAAAGGAAGTACTTAAATATAAAGAAAGAAACCAAAATAGAAAATATCGGTAGATTTGACTACATAAAAGCAGTGTGGTGGGTCATGGCAAAAAGGCTAGAACCATATGTAATCTATTCTCAACATTAGTGCACTCAGGAGGATTTAATAATTAAATCTGTTCTTTCCAGGTATACTTAAGACCAACAAGAAGGAACACATAATCTGGTCTCAGGAAACATTTTGCATCATCTGGTTAAGACTTCTGCCTCATCAGATTACAGACTACAGGTGAAGCCTTGAAGAGAGCTCCAAGGAGCTGCATGGGCACAAGGCAGTGTCCTCACAGTGAGCTAGGAGGAGGCTTGCACTGTCACTGCCAGACGCTTTGTGCATCAGGGAAGGCCTGAGCGTAGTACTTAAGCAGCCATTGCTGTCTCCTCCAGGGAGAGGAATCATCCTCTTCACAGACGGCTGAAGATCTTATGAAGCTGAACCTCCCAACAAATCCTCATATTTTGATACAAATAAGAATATGATTGTCAATATTCATGCAATGTTTTAAACCTTATGTAGCAATTTTGCACATGCTTGTACTCTTTCAGAAATAGTGTGGGTTGTGATGATAGATTTGGGTTTGAATTCTGGTTAACCATTTGGCTATGTGATCCTGGGTGACTGACTTAACCTCTCAGAACTTATTTTCTCCTCTATAAAATGATGATGGTGATGGTGCTAAGGTCAAAATGATACCACCTTATGGGATAAGGATTTGGTGACAGAAATACCTAGTTTGGCGCGTAGGAGGCACTCCATTTCCTTCCCTTCTATAAAAGTGGTTAGTTGCATCAGTAGACCTCAGATTTCCACAGTAGTTACATGTTTATATAGTGATGTGTTCTCTTCAAACGTGTCTCATGTTACATGGTGATTTTTTAAAAAAGATAGGGTCTCATTCTGTCACCTAGGCTGGAGTACAGTAGTGTGATCCTAGCTCACTGCAGCCTTGAACTCCTGGGTTTAAAATATCTTACCGCCTTAGCCTCCTGAGTAGTTGGGACTACAGGTGCATGCCACCACACTTGGTTAATTAAAAAAATTTTTTTTTGCAAGGACAGGGTCTTGCTATGTTGCCCAGACTGGTCTTGAACTCCTGGCCTCACGTGATCGTCGTGGCTTGGCATCCCAATGCACTGGGATTACAGGTATAAGCCACCACACCTGGCCTCACAGTGATTCTTAACTCAGCAATGTGGCATGGAGGTGTTAATATCTGTATTACTAAAAAGCACCCCTGAGCCTCCTGACTGAGAATTGTCAGTCTATAGTATATGATACCACAAGTATCTCTCATGAGTTTGATATTTTTGTGATACCTTATTCTTCACTCTTAGTAGCTTTATTTCAATAAAGTAAGGCTTTGCTTATATGGGAAGGCAGTGCATTAAGCTAACGAAAATTATAGTTGATAAACTACCTTCTCATATATAGCTGGATGCTAGGGAGTATTTTTGTTGGGGGTGGTGCTGGAGGGAGTTTTAATGGAAATAATAGTAGAAAGATGGAGAGTACACAAGACCTAGAGGAGGGTTGATTGAACCATAAGGAAAAACAGATAAAAGGGAAGGTGAGAGGAATTGAAGACAATGATCATTTTTCTCATAGAGCCTCATTTAGCAGGCTGAGACTTGGCTGTTTCGGGAGTACCGGCTGTCTCTCACTAGAAACTGCCATCTTTATGCTATCACCCTGTCTCCCATCCAGTCTCACCTACCCGAGGTATAAGGCCTGGACTCACCACTTGAGTTATACATGGCTACCTGATCCATCTCATCAAAGGCATATTAAGTACTATAAGATTCTCGGATTTAATCTGTCAAAACCTAAATAGTTCTCCCTATAATGATACATGAATGGTTACAAATAAAGTTTGGTAACTGCAAATATAGAAAACTAGAGAGAAAGGAAGTGGTCCCAGTCTACCATGAGCAGCTCATAGCCTAGATGAACTGAACATAGCTTTTGGTTTGTTCTAAGGAAAGAATATAAGACCGAAGTGTCCATAAAGTTCTTAAAGTAACTTTTAGAGTTTGGGGTAAGAGACCTTTCAATTGAAACTAAGAATACTTCTTAGGCCAGGCAATTAGATTTGAACTGAAGAGATAAGATAAAGCTGAAGGTCAAAGTTATGACTTTGAGAAGAGTCAGGCAATGTCATCATCAAGGGAGCCAATCTTCCAGTAGACAGGGTCTTCTGGAGTGATAACTACAGACCCGCTGTTTCCAGGCTGCAAATTAATTGCATTGGCCCAGCAGACACCATCAGTAAACAAGCCTTCCAGGGAATATCTACTTGATCCTTTTTCACAGAGCAAACTTCCAAGGGCTGCCTGGGTCCCATCCTTATTTTGTTACCATCTTCAGGGAGTCCAAGTGCACAGCAATGAAAAAATATTGTGTGATTTTGTGCTAAAATGCATGTGTAGACTAAAGAAAAGAGTAACATCACGGTGCGTTGGACCATGAAGTGATAGATAGCTTCATGAGGAAAGAAGAATTTGGCAGGGAAGTTGATGATGGGTAAAATTTAAAGAAAGATGGGAGACAGCAAATGTATCCATACTTCTGGAATGTTTTAGCTTTTGGCACTTAGGTTTGAGTATCCCCAGATGTCTGTGGTGTACCTCAAAATCTGGTCCTTGCAATTGGGCTGATGTGATAACATCTGTTGTCTAAGGTATCTACTGTGTGCTCATGGACAAGGCATCTGTTTCTGTGACTGTTTATTTTCACTGATGACTCCCATATTGAAACTCCTGGGAATGATTCCATGAAAGATGAAATAAGCCAAAGTTCGAAGGAGCAAACAGTTCAAACACATAGTAATATAGTTGGAATTAGAGCAGCCTGATGGATGTGTGGAGATTCCACCAGCTGGAAGCAGACTGGGAATTACAGGTTTCATCAACAGAACCAGAGCACATGACATATGCCACAGGGCAGAATCCTTATTATGTAATAATGACCCTGCACACTTCTCTCCCTCAATTAACAATGCACAGATTGAGGTCATTGTGTATTTACAACCTGGAGATAGCTGATAGCCCATACTTCACCTTGAAGTTTGGCTTGTCTGTTCCCTCAAATGTGTTAACACTTCTGAAACGTTTTTACCTTTGGCACCTCGGTTTGAACATCTCCAGATGTTTATGGTGTACCTTAAAATCTGGTCATTGCAGTCGGGCTGATATGACACATCTGTTGTCTAATGTATCTACTGTGTACTCATGGACAAAGCCAAATAATCTGGGCCAGGATTGTTTATGCTTTCACAGTTTGCTTTCTCAGTTTGGTTCGGCATTGATCTCTTCTTGCAGAAAGCCTATATTGGGACCAAACTGGGAATGCAACAGGGCAAAGTTGGTCTAAAAATCCTCTGGGAATTTGCCATTTGGCAATTAAATTTTCTGTAGATTACATCTCTCTACCAATTACCAGTGTGACTTTTAGAACGTTATAAAATCTGAGCATAGCCAGTTACCTTTCCTTTTCCTTGAGCCTCTAGGTCTTTATCTGAAAAATTAAAGGACTAGAAAAGATGACTTTGAGTTTTTTACAGCTCTAATATTTGAGAATTTAATAACTGCTCAGTAGTGAAAGTCAGATTTCTTGACACTAGAGCAATTAGTTTGTCCACCTATACGTATTCCTCCTACATTTATCTGCCGGAAGCCCATTGCCACTAGTATTTTCCAAGATGGAAATGTGCCAGAGTGGTATAAACCCAGTGGATTTTCACCAAGAAACTAGACCCAGCCACCCAGCCCATACTCACAGTCTTATCATTCCTCCCATTCATTTACCCATTCACTCAACAAACATTTATTGAAGGCCTGTTAAGTGCTAGGTACTAATCTTTAGAACCTACTCTATGGCTTTTCAGTCCATCTTGCCTTCACTCACTTTTTTTGACAAACCAGGAAGACAACGGTGTAGGAAATGTATATTTAATCATTCTCTTGAACGATCAGAACTCTAAAATCAGTTTTCCATAACAACATGTAATACAGTCACCGTGGCTCCAAGGTCCAGGAAGACAGTGGTTAACACATGAAAAGTGTGGGAAGGGGGCTGGAAACATATTCTTTTCCATCAAAGCTTCATTCCTCAGGGCCTC